TATATATATATATATATATATATATATATATATATATATATATATATATATATATATATATATATATATATATATATATATATATATATATATATATATGCTTATATATGTTCCATATATATATATATATGCTTACTCCCCACCCTTCTTTCCACTTCCAGCTTTAGTGAAGTGATGCAGGTTGTAGTTATGATGTGAAAGTAATCCTATTCACATAGGCTACAGATTCCTATACTTGACACTACTTATTTTAGGAGCAACTCTTATCGTAATACTTTGAAATTACAGCACTATTGAACACTAAAATACTCGGAGATAAATAATCCCTATCTAACATACAAACAGGGAATGGGACAATCAATATATCAGTATTACAGTTGATAACAGAAAGTTTTAAAATATGGAACAACAGAGGATATTAATATGAACAAATCTGACAGTCCAGTTCCAGCATCTACATTAATAGGGTTAAGAGTTTCACTGGCCTGCAGCTATATTCTTTAATTGATGGGAGGGCAGGATAGGTGATCCCCTCTTGGCTTGGCCCCAAACAATATCGTTTTGTCTAGAGGACAGAGAGGCAGAAACAGCAATTTGGCCTGCTGAAAAATGATGTTTTGTGTATTGAGAGTGACCTGCTTCTTCCAGTTTCTAATATTAGAGGGTTTAGCTTGTGGAAGTAGAGTAACTGATAGGAAATCAGAGGTAAGAAGTGAAGAAAATTAACATGGGAGGCCTGTTCGAGAGAAATTTTGGTCACATCATGTGAGTCCTAAAATTTTAACCAAATCCATAATAGTGAGGATTCTAGAAAATGAAATCTGTTCCCTGTGACTTGATTTTCTATGTGATCACTCCCAGTTTATATGGGAGAAATGGAGATCTTTATCCTATTTACAATCCAGGATTCACTATATTGTTGAATGTATCAATTCCAAGTATCACTTACATTTCAGATGTTTTGCTTTGAAGCATGAACATATTTTGCGTTTATACAGGAATGTAACAAAATAAATAACATGCCAAAAATTTCAGCCATGGAGCATTAGCCTCTATTTACGTAGGAACAATAGATACTTTTAAAAATGGTGTGTGTGTGTGTGTATGTATACCCTGGCATCATCAGACAAAATTATGCCATAATGCCCAGAACTGAAAAAAATTGCCAATTGTGTACCAGGAAAGAGATAAGTTGAAAAGATCCAAATAATATTTCCTCAGAAGAATATACTGCTGTGCATAATAATTTATTGAAATCAGGTAACATCCTCTAACTGATCAGTTAGTTCAAATAAGTGCTGCTAAATAACTTTCAAATTTTGTAAGATTATCTGGGACACTACACATCCTCTTCATGACCTGTTTTCCTTATTACCTTCTGGGAGGAGGCTTAGTGGTATCTGTAGCAGAACATCCAGATTCAGCCATAGTTTCATTCCATACAGCATTAACCTTGTGACCTCTCAAGCTTCCTCCTTCCATTATATTTTCAAGGTGGACAGAACTTAATATTTATTTGCTATGTATATGTAGGAGTGTGGGTCTATACATATGTTGTACATAGTATGTTTAGGTGTGCGTCATGTATGTGTTTCACTTTGAGAGTGGGCAACTAAATTTCATTTTTGATGTGTGCCGTTGTACTCACAGTAAAAAAATGACAATAAAGGTTATCTTATCTTATCTTAAATGGAATTGATGCTCCCAAGCTGCAAGACTGGGCCTTTGTGAATTGCTTTGTGTCAAGGATCATTTGAAAAATTTCTAAACAGGCAATTATTGTTCAATGCTGCTACATGAGCTTTAATAAGTGTGAGCATGCTTAGGACTCAGCATTGCATTTTATGTTTTGCCAGTTTGCCTACTAGCAATCTGATGAGCAGAACCTCCAAGGCAGAGAGGTGCAAGTCTGTGCCCAACAATCCCCTTTTGTTTTTGCAGATGTTTAGGCTTAAAGCGGTGTTGTGGAGCTCTGGCTCTGTTTGTACTTGCATGCTGCTATTCTCTGCTCATTGTCTAAACCTGTGTGCATTGTTCTCCTTGACAGGTGATAACTATCCTGTGCAGTTCATTCCATCAACAATGGCAGCTGCTGCTGCTTCTGGACTCAGCCCTTTACAGCTCCAGGTATGTGCCAGAATAAAAATATGTGGGCTCAAAGCCAGTACTTTAGTGGAAAACTGCTAACCAGCTGTATGCTAAGTAATGGCTTGAATGTTAAGTAATTTTTTAAGCACAGCCCCAGAAGGATTAACACCTTATGTACTAAATATGCTGCAAACAGAGCGGCATGTGTCAAGCTTGATGCTGGGAAATGCAGCCAACTTTGTATTTTTATCAATTACTTAATAATTTCTGGCACAATCCAATCTATGCTTAAGCACTTTTGATTTGGTGGGAGAATTAAGCAACCCTTTAAGCCTTTTCTTCAACTGAAAGGTGTTTGAAAGGTACTTAAGTTGTGCTGGGTGTGTATGTGGAGAGTGGATGGAAGAAACAAGTAGCTCTTATTGGAATTGAGGTTCAAAATATTTTATTTCTCTTAAGCTTTTTCCAGATGTAGCCTTTTTAGATTTTGCTACTCATAGTGGGCGTCTGAAAAATGTCGATTTCTCCTTCTTTTGGGCTTTGTAATGACTGTTTCCTAAACTGTTCACTTGCAGCTTCTGTATTTATGGAATCTCAGTCTTTCCATGCGTTAAGTTGGTTGGATGCCAGCAGCCATCAGGAGTCTGAGTTTGGTCCCTTGCTAGGTCATTTATTTATTTTTGTCATAGGGGGAACTAAATGTTGTGTGAAAATGATTTATATTCCAATTTATTATATAGCCTTTTAATATTCCCCAAGAAAAGGCACAATAGAGTCAAATAATGAAGTAGCAGTCAAAAGCTTATAAAGTGGGTGTGTTTAGCAATCGTATTAGAGGTTTACCTTTTGGTTATTTAAATGTTGTAGCTAATGCCTCTTGTAATTATTATCAACCAAAATTATAGTAGTGTTAGTAGTGGCAAACATTATAGTTTAGTTGGAGGCAAATAGATTTACTTAATTGCCAGCTTGTTTGGATTACAGAATATTTTAAAACATAATCAAAAAACCTAGCCTTAGTGGTTGCAGAATTTTTTTTTAAGGATGCTGATAAATGAAAAGAGAAATTTGCTCAATTATCATTTTTTTTTGTGCAGAATTGGATGGAATCTAAGAAAAGAGAAGCAGCATTTGAAAGGTGTAATTTTCCAGTTTTAGAAATGATTCCAAAATCCATATTGTAAGGAAAAATGTAATCAATACATATATCAGAGTAAATAATTACAAGAATATCAGGAAAAAAATGGATATAGTTAAGTTTAAACATTTTTAATGTAAACATCCAAACCTACTGAAGAAAAAGTACACCTGAATTTAAGACTAAAAAAATCAATATTTCATTTTAATTGTATTTTAAACTTAGTATTTTGTATGGTTTGTCTGTTTTTTAACTTGCTGTAAGCCGCCCTGAGTCCGCTAGGAGAAGGGCGGGGTATAAATTGAATAAAACTAAAACTAAACTAAAACTAAACTAAACTAAACTAAGACTAGAGATAAGAGAAACTGAGAAAAATCAGTTCCACTTATTACAAGTCAGTTCTGTTTCTGATAGGGTCATGTATGGTGGCTGTTGAATGGAGTAGGAAAAAACAACTGAAGACTTCACCTGTTTATGTACAACAGCTCCCTAGCTAATTTGTATTATTGATCTGATCTATCACTTTGAATTGGAAATGGTGAAAGACATCAACAAATAATCAAATGGGTATCCTACTTATTTGTTTTAGGTTTATTTTAAAGGACATTTTCTTGTTCAGTTCTTCCCCTACCTTCAAGAGACATTTATATCTTTTCTTTCTGAGAAAGTTCTTTAAAAGAAGGCTGAAGTTTTATAGCAGTTAAGGGGAAAAGATCATGATATGTTTTCCTGGAATTCCTTCTATAAAGGGATGGTTGTTCTCTACTGGGTTGTCATACTCTTTTGTGATTGAGGAGGGATCTTAAAAAATCATATTTTCCTACTAATAATATATGCTATCCATGATACATTACCTTGTTTCTTTTCTGAGCATAGGACTTTTGTAACTTTTAAACTTTGTCTAAGAAAAGCCACATTTCAATCTGGCAATTTTTATTTACTGTATATCCAGTATTTATAATGGGTACCTCAGTGTCTCAATTTGATTAGAGCAGGCATGTCAAACTGCCGGCCCACGGGCCAGATGTGTCACACCGAAACCACGCCCACCTCATTGCCGGCAATGGGGAAAAAGTCACGATACCTCGTGCGACATCACGTGACATTGCGAGTTTGATATGCCTGGATTAGAGAATCCTTGTTCTTGAGTTGTAAGAACGATCAATTTTTATGCATCGAAGTTTTCTAACATTTAACAGAACTTGTTCTTAAAATGATTCTTAAACCTGAGCTATTTCTGTGAAATAATCCTGTCAAGATTTGGTAAACTGGAACTGCTGATCATATCTTATTTTCTTCTTTTGAAATACTCTACTTCCCCAATAGAAATTGCATAACACATATTGTATTGTGACACTATTGTATATCTAAGAAGAACTGAAGCAACACACACAGGCCCAAACACAGTTATTCTTTCTGAAGAATTTGCTGAGATTTGCTGATTGAACTCTACTAACAGCTATAGCTCTTTCAAGTTACGGTGCTCTGAAAGGTATCACTAATCTATAGCATCTCCTAGTGCACATAACAATGTCTTTCAGCATGGTAGACAACTTGGTGCTTTCCAGATATTGTGTTTTATATCTCCCAGTCATTTCAGTATATTCAATGGCAAGGTATTGTGAACTATAATCCAAATATCTGAAAGTCTAAGTTTTTTCAGAGACTAAAGTTAAGTAGTCTTTTGCCATGTATCCTAAAGAAGAGAAATGTGTGGTCCACTGAGTAATTCAGAAAACTATTATCTGTAAGCAAGTGCTCTAGAATAGCATGGGCTATCCTGAAAGTTGTAATTCATTAGTTTATTAGCTGAGGTCCAGAATATTGCATGATCTAGATCATTTTCTGGATGACAGCATAAGGAATTCTATTCAGTACAATTCCTGATTAAAATAGTCACAATGAGCTACCGTCTAATCTGTGAGCCATTCAAAGTAGCAGAAGAGTTACTCTTTTTAAAGGCTTTTGTCCACTTTGCTTCTCAGAACCAACAGCTGTGGAGAAAATTGTGATGTATCCATTTTAAATATACAGGATTAAAGACTGAAAAGTACATAGAAATTTACATACAAGTCTAATGTACCTGTCTTTCTCATACTGATCTTTTTCATTGTTTTATTACTCTCACAAGACCATGACTCCAAAAGTGCAGGCATTCAGTCCTTAAAAGGAAAGGGATTTGGAAAAAAAAGAAAAGAATAAACATTAAACTTGAATTAATAATAAGGGGATCAAATTCTAACAACCCCTTGACTACTTTCAGCGTTGAGGAATCACATCAGGGCTCTCTCTTCTTCCCATCAGTGTTTGAATTAACTAATTAATGAGAAGGTTTAGCTATATGTCCCAGTGCAATAATCTGATAGCCCCTTCTCCCCTGGGCTTAGAAAGGCTGAGCTTTATTATATCTTTTTTTTTTTGAGAGAGAGAGAGAGCTTTGCATCATTTTGCCTTCTATCCTTCAAAGCAAAGCAAAAGAAGCAGTGATATGGGTGTGTATACATGTATATAAAACGGGAGGGGGAGAGGAAGAAGGACAAGGAAAAAAAGAGGCAATTATGTTAACTGGATTTGTCCTAAACAAAATGTTCTTTAGAAGTGTGCATGGAGGCCGAGGGGAGGGTGAGAGAGTAAAAACCAACCTATAACTTCTCCTTTATATCCCTGATGCTTCCTGAGTAATTTGTCCTTCAAAGTTTATCATGTATAACATTAATGAGCCTTGGCAACTTTAGCCCTGATTGCAGCTGTATGCTGAAAGTTTTCATCACCAGTGAAATTAAACAACACCCGCCACAAAAGCCTGTCCAGCCGGCTTCTTTATTCTCTCCCTCTTCTCTCTTCTTTGCTCTGCACCACGTAACGACCTTTTGTTATACCACAGGGTGCAGATCCAAAGTATTGCTGAAGCATTGCAGCGCCTGCCTCAGGGGTACAATATTAGCGGTATGAAGGCCAAAGAATGCTATTTTTAGTTGAACAGTTCGGCAGATGGAGGCAGGAATACTCATATATCTGAAGGTTGAGGGTTTGAACCATTAATTTTGATAATGTATTTAACCCTGGGAACAATCAGAAACTGTAACTCTAAGGTTACAATGCTTTTGACCTTTAGAGAACAGAGGGCACTCGGTACAGTAAACAATATATTACATTTCTACTTATTCTAATTCTCTCACACATATAAATTTCAGGACAGGGTTGACATTTGCTTTCCTCAGCTATTTTCGTGCAGGCCCTTAAAGTAAGTAGAAAAGAATGTGCAGGAGAGAGGCCGCTGTAATGCGACAGTCATGTAAATATGGCCTTTAAATAGCTAAGGCATTAAATGTAGCCTTTTATGAAGAAATATTATTCTCAAGAACCAGCATCTCATTTGTTCCTCCCTCTCTCCCCCACCCCCCACCCCGTGGAAAAGTTGGTATATGAGCCGTGTCTCTTTAGGCATTTCCTGTGTATTGCTGCAAGCTTAAAGCAATTTTTATTGGGGTTAATGCTATGCAATAGGCTATTCTAGAGAAAAGACAATTGGGTTTGGCTTCCGCCTTTCATTGTGTAAATGGGTCGTACCTGTTTGTGGCTTTGTGAAATGGGACACACTCCACCACAGCAAATACAGCAGTTAGATATCACACAGCTTAAGTATTCCTAATTAAAGTATCTCCATGTGTCAGCATATTGGTAATGTTTTATTTTAATCCATTTATTTTGTTTATGAAACACTGACATATGTTTAGATTGTGAAATATATGAGCCTTAAAAATCACTTTATTGAGGAAAATTAATTCCTACAATGCTGTCTGGGTAATGTGTTCACTCACCCAGTCAGTCACTGGCGGGCCTGCCACTCTTAATGTTGCTTAGACACACTTTAACAGTTTTATCTGACATAACATTTCTC